TGAATGTTTACAAACTATATAAAACAAACAAACAAATACTTCAACAAAGCTGTGATTAATTGTTTAGTACATGTACATCTGACAATGAATGTTTACAAACTATATAAAACAAACAAACAAATACTTCAACAAAGCTGTGATTAATTGTTTAGTACATGTACATCTGACAATGAATGGTTACAAACTATATAAAACAAAAATACTTCAACAAAACTGGGAATAATTGTTTAGTACATGTACATCTAACAATGAATGTTTACAATCTATGTAAAACAAACAAATACTTCAACAAAGCTGGGATTAATTGTTTAGTACATGTACATCTAAGTCTAACAATGGAAGTTTACAAACTACACAAAACCAATACTTCAAAGCTATGATTAATTGTTAAGTACATGTACCTATAACAATAGAAGCTTATAAACTACAGAAAACAAACAAATACTTCAACAAAGCTGTAATTAATTGTTTAGTACATGTTTAAGAACTGTAAAAGGAACACATACTTCAACAAAGCTGTGATTGATTGTTCAGTACATGTACATCTAACAATGGAAGTTTAGAAGCTATATAAAACACATACATACTTCAACAATGCTGTGATTAATTCTTCAGATCATGTGCAACTAGAAACAGAAGTGTACAAATTTTGGAGTAACACAAATCAGAAAATTTCACCACATACTGATGTAGAGTTATAAAATTATTAGGGTCTTTGAATAATCTGAATGGTTTAGTAGAAATGTGAACTTGAACATTAAGTCAGATTTTATTTTCAACAGTTATTTTTTAAGTTCCATTTACAAACTTATAGAATGGTTTGACTGCCTGCCTAATTGTTCGGCCTAGACTGATAACAGTCTAGTTAGATCTACATTAACCAATTAAATTGTATGTGATGAAGACTTGCACAAAATAAGCCTTTAAATGATGTAAGAAAAAATGTCTGTGCATTGTGTCATATTTAATATCTGATGTACTTTATAGGAATTGCTTCATTTGTTGACAAGTTATGCTTGCAGACTATATCCTTGATGTACCAGTTAAACATTTCCTCCAGTGTTTCAATGCAGGGATGCATTACAAACAAAAGCTAGTTTCATATAAAAAGTTTATTATATGTGAATTTATATGATTAGCTTGAGTAGATTTTAAACCAAGTTCCTGAGTCTCACTTCTCAATCTGTTTGTTTACATCACAGGAACTACTTGTAACTTAACCCATTAACTGCAGATAACGGATATTTCCATCATTGAAGTTCTATGGCTCAGCTGCCAATGGCGGAATTATCCGTCAGTCGCACATATATAAATATAACTTTATGCGAATGATGATAATTACCATTTTATTGTGATTGATGGCAACTCAGTTTTATCTGTGAGTCAGAAAATGGCAACTGAGCTCCTCCTGCAGCAGTTAATGGGTTAAGTAATCATTTTTGTTTTGATCTAACACATTATTTTCATGCCTTACATTTTCTTTCATTTCTTTATGTAGGGCAATGGGAAGATCTATATTTTATTTATATTCACATTCAACATAACATTAGCATGAAGGACAACTTAGATGATTACTACATTAATCACTTAACTGAAAACAAAAAACCTAGTACAGGTTTAATAAATATTTTACAATGATAGAAACAAGCCTACCAGTGCTTGACTATACATTACTGAGCAATAAAGTGTATAAACAGTCACAAATCAATATGGAGTCTGCCATAAAAGCTCAAAACAAAGGCAGTCAAATAATAACAAGTCACTTGGCTCATCAACATTACCTCTCTCTCTATCTTTCAAAACAACCAACTAGATATTAAGTCATTCTTTCACTCTCTGAAATAACCAACACAATCTGGATATGCTATTTATATTGATTTGCTAGAAAAACTTCAAAAACACATATTATAAAGCACATAACACCACAATCTTAACTTCACAAAGAAACTGAAAGTACAAACTTTAACAGTATTTGTCATGGTAAATAAAAGCTGAGAAAGCTTTGTTTTTATAAACAAAATTATTTTTTTGTTAGACTTACCAATTGTGGAATTATTTCTCTGACAATATTTTTTTATTATTTTTTTAGTCTTAGGGTGACCTCAGTGAGCCAAATACACTTATGTTACTTTGGCTGCTCTCATGTTTTGGGTACAGATTACAACAACACACTAGTGAAAGTATTTAAACTAATGAGCCTATAATTTATTAACCATTTTTTAAAAATTGAATAAAGAATTTTCTAATTATCAACAATTTCTTCATCTTCTAACAGATATCACTAAAATGTTTTAAACAATAAATGTATATTTTTGTTTTAAATAAATATTCAAAATGTACAAAACATTTGCAATTGAACACAAAACATCCATGAATTCATACATTTTAAATCACTAGATGCCAACATTGTCTAATTTATGTTATCCTAATGCCAGTAAGGGACACTTGTTTGGTAGAATCACTCCCTAATAATTTTGTATACATTCATTTAGCTCTATGTATTTCATGAACATACTACTGTAGTAAGACATTAACTTTTTTTTTCACAGTTTTATTAGATATCTAACATGTTAAATATGGAAGTGAATGTACCACTTAGCAAAACTTAATTTATAATCTCAAGCTTCCCAAGAAATTTGTTGCCTTTATTAGTTTACAGACTTCTAATAATGATGTAAAATTACGAAATTCAGCCTAGGAAGTTACCTTACTACCCTTCCCTTCATTTGAAACATTATGTGCAATTACTATATGTATTACCTTACCCATTATTCTCCGACAAAGCTGTCCTTGTTTATGAACCAGTTAAAAATTAGGTGTTTCAATTCCACTTCAATTTAATCTGAATTTCTGCAAAACTTTAGCCTTTTAACACTTCTACTTCTTGTTTATTTGTGTCTTGCTGTAGATGTCAAGGAGGATGGAAAAGTCCTAAAATTAAAAATAAAATTCATAAAATAACTTCGTAGTTAAAAAAACAAAAACATAGTTCATTCATACATAAACGCCATTACGATGATTAATAACTGAATAACGTCATATTTTAAAACATTTTTCATACTTTAAGTAAAAATTATAACTAATAACATCTTATCATGACTTAGTTTAAGTTAACTTTAAGTTTAACAACTTTGCAAAATTCATAAAATATTTAACTTTTTTACAGAGCAAAGAAAATTACCTCAGCAGCTTATGTTTGAATTAATTGCGAGTAATAACATCCTCAGAGTACGGATATCATAATATATTTTACTATAAAAATTCAAATTTTCTAAAGCTAAATCCTAGAATTTTACATAAACACACACACTAAGAACAACTATAACTGTAGCACTTCTAACAACAACGTACCTCAGTAAAGCCCTTTAAATTGATCGCAGTGCCTTCTAGTAGCTTAGAAAATTATTTAATGTATAGTCTAAATATTAGTAAGAAATTAGTAAATTCTAGTATTAATATAGTCTAAATATTAGTATTAAATTAGTAAATTCTAGTATTAATATAGTCTAAATATTAGTATTAAATTAGTAAATTCTAGTATTAATATAGTCTAAATATTGTATAACTCTTATTATTCTTGACTTTGTTTAATTTGTAGGATATAGAAAGCTCCTGACGAAGCTGTAATAGCGAAATATTGAGCTAATAAAGTTACATTCTAGATGTATCAGTCGTGATTATATTTTGTTTATAGAATTGTATAACTTTGTTAATAAAGTAGATGTGCAATTTGACTAATTCTATGAGAGACAAATTGCATACCTAGCTCTTCCCTTGGTGAAAGCCCGACAGATCGGGTGAAAGTTTACAAGTGAACTCTCAGTTCATAATGGGCTTTCTTTTTGAAGCTCTTGTAAGTTGTAATGCACTTTAAATGTCTTACCTTAAAAGTTTTGCGTGTAATTTTAATGAGACTGCATTTCTTCGTCTTTTTTTCTCTTGAAAACGCGGAAACATACATAAATTGGCTAATAATGAGCAGAATCTCTGCAAGGATTTTCGGTATCGTTTATTTTCCAAGAAAATTGTTGTATGACAGGAGAAGTGGATCGGGAGTGAAGAGGTGTAGTAGTCGAGTCGAGAAACGTAGTAGAAATGGCAAAGCAATTGCGTCACTTCTTGTTCAAAGCAGCCCACTTTACAATATAGACGTGGTCAAGATTTCTTCTGTCTGAATTTGGTGCATTTAATGCATTAAATTTAATAATAGTCTTGAATTTTGCTTCTACGAAAACTATATTCTGCATCAAAAAGTAAGATACATCCTAAAAATATCTTGATTATAAAATTCTTCTCTAATTCAGGCTTAAGTGTTTATTTAATCCTAGCAGAAAATGGAAGTTAAATGGTGTGAATATGAAAAGAGAGAGAAACTTAAGCAGTGACAATATCTTTATTCTCCGCATTCTAACTGGATATTTTATTTCTGCATATTTTAGTTATTATGGGAAACATGCCACAATGATATTTGACTTGTAGAATTTTGTTGTGGTGTGAGTTTTGTTGAAACTCAACTATTTAAAATAGTTACAGCGGTAACGATATAAAAGTTACCGAATAAGATATTTTTATTTTCAATGTATGGGAAATTTAATGATATTTGGTTTGCTTTTGGGCTACTAAGCTACTTTGCTAAGTTTGGTCTGGATAGGTCAACTGATTTAGGAGGAGATACATCCACAGGCAGACGGAAAGTTTTCCTTGATATTAGATACTTACCGCACCGGTATAGCATAACATAACATAATGTTTAGAGACAACAAGGACCTATTGGTCCGTCTCGGCTGTTTCGCCCTCTAAACTAAACTAAAACTATTAATAAATAAATTTAAAATTTTTTTAAAGCCAGCCCTTATCATTTATATATGTACCAAGCTTTTTCTTAAACTAATTTACCGGCTCTAAACATCTGAAGGTAACCCATTCCAAAAGCCAACCAAAAATAGCTGAAGATGACTTACTTTGTCAAATTTATATTTGTATCTCCTAATCCTACTATTTTTGCCATTAAGTATGAAAAACAAAACAAAACATGATTCACCAACACTATCAATTCCCCTTACAATCTTAAACATCTCAATCAGGTCCCCTCTAAGTCTTCTTATTTCAAGAGAAAACAATTTCAGAGATCTTAATCTAGGCACCATTCTAGTAACCCTCCTCTGAACCCTTTCCAGCAATTCAATGACCTTCCTATGGTAAGGAGCCCAAGACTGAACACAATACTCCAAATGTGGCCTAACCAGTGACCTATACAATAAAATTATAACCTTTTTAGACTTGTATTCAATCTTTCTGTAGATACAACCTAAAATCCTATTTGCCCTACCACTAGCAACAGCAAACTGCTTCGACAGCTTAAGAGTCCGATCAGCCATTACATCAAGATCCATTTCTTTCATGACACTGTTAAGTTTATTCCTATCCAAATTAGACTTATAATTCAAATTATGATAATCCACATGCATCATCTTGCATTTATTATAATTAAAAACCATTTGCTAATAGTAGCAAGTGGCTCACATATCCAATCCTTAACTTCTTTAAAAACCCTTGGGGAAATATTTGTTTTTTCTTAAGAAACTCAGAATTAATGAAATCATATCAACAATCATATTGTTGCCATCTATCAACTGTTCAAGATGAGGGATACTGCTTAAATATTCACTAGTAAACACCGATGGAAAAGCAGAATTTAATAACCCAACCATTTCACAATCATTAGATACAAGTCTTCCTTTATCATCCTTCAAGGGTCCTACTCCCATCCTAACATTTTGTTTACTCTTAATGTATTTAGAGAAATCCTTAAAGTTAATTTTTACATTTCTGCCAACCCTTTCTCCTACATTCTTTCTGATGTCCAAATTTCCTGTTTCACCAACTTTCTTGATATTCTGTAATCTTCTAAATCTACCGTCATACCAGTTAACTTAAATGTCTTAAATTTATGGAGCTTTCTTTAATTTTATCTCTTGTACTCTTTGTGAGCCAACCAGGTTTTTTTACTTGCAACCATACTTTTCTTTCTGTAAGGAATATGTTTGCTTTGAATATTTAAGAATTTATCATTAAAACATTCCACATTTGATCAGTGTTTCCAAAAAAGCTAAGTTGCCCAATTCACAACAGATAATTCTTGTCACATCCCTTCAGAATTTTTATTTTTGAGATTTGTAACAAAAATATCATTATTCCTATCTTCATATGCAGCAAAACATCAAACCTGATAGAGCAATGATCACTTGCACTCAGATGTTACCCAGTTTCCACCCTCTCAAAAATTTATGTATTAGAAGTTAATAATAAATCTAAAATAACATTGTCTCTAGTAAGTTTCTTGACCAATTGGTGAAGAAAACCATCGTGAACAAATTTCAAAAACCTTTCTCGTTTATGGTTTGACTCTAGCATTTTCCACTCTATATACCTGAAATTAAAATCATCCATAATTTTGACCATTAACAGCTGAAATCTTAATCTCATTGTAAAGTTTCTCACTAATTTCATCGGTATCATTTGGTGGCCTGTAACAAATCCTCTCTAAAAGCCTTTTCCCTTTATATAGATTCAATCTCCTTGCTATTATCTATGATATCCTTAACTTCAACAGGATCTAACACACATTTTACATATAAAGCTACTCTCCCTTGTTTAATACTCTGTCTATTAAATAGCCTGTAACCTCATATTTTAAAGAATTTTTTGTCATAAAAATCATCTACGTATTACCGTGTTTCAGTTATTCCCATTATATAAAAATCCTCCATTCCTACCAGTGCTGTAAAGTCATCTGTTTTATTTCTTATACTTCTAGCATTACAATAATAACAATTAAGCCTACCCTTATAACTACTTCTATACTTATTTCCTATGCTAAACCTTGCTCTTATTCTTTTTGCATTTAGTTTATCATGGCCCTTACCACTGTTTAGTTCTAGTTTAAAACTTCCCTTACAGGTGAGTTAAGAACTGTAGCAAACAAGCCAAACCCTACCTTATGTAAACATAATCCATTCATTCCAAAAACTTCCTTCTTCTATTAAACTGATCCCACAAGTTCAATCAGCCAACCTACTCATCCTTACATATTAATCTAAACCTAGTATTTAGCCCCAGTGACCTCCTCGTAATTTCATCCCCACAATTAATTCTTGACAGTATCCTTGACAGAAGTTATGGCCTTTTTCTTTAAATGTCTTTATCAACCCCTTGTACTTATCAATTAGCTATTCTGACCTACCTTTCCCTACATCATTAGCCTCTATGTGCACAACAAAAACTGCATCACTGCTAGCTCCCTTTATTATATCTTTTGCTCTGACAGTTATATCCTCCACCTGCGCCCCTGAGTAGCATAATCTAATTCTTTTCTCCCTATATACCTCACAAACTATTATGTCCACATGCCTTGTCAAGGAATCACCTTTAACTATAACCTCTTTAAGTTTATCAGTCACATCCTTCTCCGACCCTTTTGTTTTCCTTCCCTCCATCTGCAGAAGCCAAGGGCTGAAATTTGTTGCTTAACAGAATAGGCTCATTACAATTGAGTTCACTACTTTTTACTCTAATAGTACTCTTTCTAACTTCCTGAAAGTCGTTGTTAGCTTATGTATTCCTCGCATGTAAAAGCTTAAGCTCCTCTTCAAATCCTGCTGTCATTTCCCACAGTCTACACTTTATCTAATGCCTCTACTTTAATTAGGATAGCCTCCAACTTCTCTTCCAACCTACAAACTATTCATACAAATTGCACATCTTCACCACTAGCTTCCTTAAAAGTACATACCAGTCCCGAGTTTCCAAATACAATCCACTCATTGTACCCATCACAAATATAAAAACTGTGAGGCTTAATAGGTATAGCACATATGTGAGGAACACTTGCACTCCAACTTTTATATTCAGGCACTCAGCTGAGCAGTACCACTTATTTAGAACTATTAAATTGCAATTACACTTACTAATGAATAACCTACATACAGAATTTAAAATAGAGAAACTGTATCAGCAGAAGACACACAAAATCATAACTTCATTCACCATAATTTGAAATATTTTGCAAAACGAATGAAATAAAGAATAGTTTTATTTTGATACTAGTTATTTAAAGGAAATGCACAGTAAATTTTCAAAACAAAATATGAAAAACTTTTAAATGTAAAAATGATTTTTAATGTTTTCTTTCATTCTTTTGCTGAATGATTATATGTGGAAGAAATATATTTAAGAACTTCCTTGAAAGTACATATGAGTATTGTTGTAACATAGTTCCTTCGCAGATGAGATCTTTTAAATTATCCATTGAAAATAATTCAACATCCAGTCCACATAACCATAATAAGTTACTTTATTTCCTCTTTTAATATTTCTATAAAACTTGAACACTTCTTAGCTGACGTAGATTTGTTGTAAGCCTATGGTACAAATGATGTTAACTAAAGTAAAACAAATAAACTTACTTGTATAAAGTAACTGTATTAGCTAACACAGTTATTGGTTCACTTTCTTTCACGTGCAAAGGAATGTACCATTTCATGAAGTCCATCTGAGTAAGATAATTGATCAAGTTTAGAACTTTGCGCTGGATACTTTTTTTCTGGTGGAACACTCTATACCTGTTAAATAAGACAGTTACCAATACTTGATAGTTGTTATGGCTTTCAGTTGGAATATTATTTAACGATGTTAAAACCGATGTTTTTAAATGGACATCAAGATGGATGAATTTTGCTCACTATTCCAACTGCTCCCTCTGAAAATGATTCAAAACTGAGCCTTGTATGACTACCATGGTACCTTTCAGTCATAATCCACTGGTTTCTCTTTTTTTCTCATGAATGTGAAGCAATTAAGGATTTTGAGGAATTTGTGTAATTGCTTCATGGTAATTTTAGAATTTAAGGTGTTTTTATTTAGAGAGTAATATAAGAAAGTAAAATGTAATACATGTGTATATAAAAAATAGCATTGAGAAACTAGGTCAATATTAAGTAGCTGGATAGTAGTGGTATTGAGAATCATAAGTCATAAAAGAGTTATAAAACAAAATGACACTACTGCCTAGCACCAGTGATTGACAGTAATTAATTACTAATGCCAACTCGTTAGTACTGTGGAAGCTACGAATAAGTTGGTGTTAACACGCAAAAGCGGTACTTTGTTGATATATTCCTTACATGATGCTAGTGTACTAGCACAAGTAAGCAGGCAACTGGGTAACTCATCATAACAGTAACCAATCACTTGA